CTGGGAAGAGACCCCACCTTCTACCTTGGAGTCATTCTCTTTTCTCCTCCACATCCCGTCAGCCTATGGTCTGTATCTTTTCTGTCTCCCTAGTCCACCCTGTAACTTCTACCCACACACTACCCATGAGGGTCTGTCCCTGTCCCCTCCAACCTGGACTGCTTGGCTTGGCCTCCTCACTCTTCCTCCAAGGCCATCTCAGGCAGGTATGTGCTGCGCTTTGGGGGGTTTCTCCCCACAGAATGAGTTGGCCCGTTTTGTTTTCCACTGCAGGAATTTACAGTTCAAAATCTCCCGCATCCTGTTGCCAAAACTCGTAAGACTCATTCCAGTACCATCATCCAGGGGAAACCAGTTACAGTAGGATCCATCTTTTTTTATTTAATATTTATTTCCATTTGTTATTACTTTTAATTTGACACAAGAGAGAGAGGAGAGAGAGAGAGAAAGAAAGAAAAGAAAAAGGAAAAGAAAAAAAGAGAGAGAAAGAGAAAGGGAAAGCGAGAAAGCAAGCTGCCAGGACTGGGACTCGAAACGTGGCTGGCCATGTGAGTCCAGTGCCTCTAACCCCCACACCACCTGCCAGCCCTGTGGTTTATTGATTTTAAAAAACAAAATCGCCAGAGGACATATGCAGGAGAGGGGGACACCATCTCCCCTAGTGGGTGAGGTAATGCTGTAACCCTGCCTCCTCTCTAGTCCACCGAGACCCTGGGTACTCACACACATGGACCCGGCATGTCCTAAGCCACCAGGGCTTGGATTCAACCCACAGGCTCTGGCTCCCTTAACCACTAGTCCATAGGGAGCATGTGCTCATCAGAGACAGAGACAGACAGTGAGAAATGACCCCCCAGGGGGATGACCATGCTGTAATCCCTCCCTTCTCCTTTTGGGGTTTTGGGCAGGCACACACTTGAGCCTAGTGTGAGTTTTAAGCTGCCAAGTCCAGGACTGTGGTCAGCTACGTGGGAGTCCAGTGATGCAATCATTACACTATCTGCTGGTCCTTTAGATAACTTTTAAAGTAACAGTTTTGGGGCCAGAAGGTGGCCTGGTGGTTAAGGCACTGGACTCTCACATGGCTGGATGCGGTTCAGGTCCTGGACCTGGTGGCTTGCTTTCTCAATCTGTCTGGTGTGTGTGCCCTGTAGCAAATTAAAAATAATAACAATGCAAACCAGCAGGTGGCATAATGGTTAAGGTGCTGGATTCCCACATAGTTGACAGCGGTTCAAGTTGTTGATCCAGCGGCTTGAGAAACATTGGATGTGTGCACGTGTGTGCCCAAAATTCCAAAAGGAGAATGGAGAAAGAATTGTGGCATGGCCATCCCCCTAGGGGGGATGACTTGTCTCGTTTTTTTCTTTTTTTTTTTTTTGGCTATAGGGCACTCGGGCTCACCAGAGAGACAGAAGCAGAAGGAGAGCTAGAAAGCGAGAAATCCTTTCCCAGAGGGGATGGCCACACTGCAATCCCTCTTCTCCATTCTCCTCTTGGGATTCTGGGCAAGCACACACACAAACACACACATGTGGCATGAGTTTTAAGCCACTGGATTTTGGACTTGAACCGTGGTGTACTACGTGGGAGTCCAGCAAGGTAACTATTACACCATCTGCTGATCCTGATTTCTTTCTTTTTATCCCTCTGCGTTGTTAGTGAGCACAAATGCCCTATAGCAAAAATCTGTCTCAAAATAAATAAAATTAAATATTTTAAAAAAGTTACAGTTGGAGTTATATCATATAACCTGTAACACCACTCTTTAGTATATGCCCAAGAGAAAGGAAGCATGTTCATGCAAAACTTGAGGAGTGTTCACAGAATAAGTCATAACAGCCTGAACTGGAAACGACCCCAAGTCCATCAGCTGATAACTAAGATGTGGTGTCTGTACTCTGGAATAGAATTCAGCAGTTCAGGTAGACGCACACATGGATGAACCCTGAAAACATGATGGTGGGCCAGCCGGTGGTATGGTGGTTAAGGCGGCTGGATCTTGCGGAGTCCCAGGCTGCTTGAAAAACACACTGGGCACGTGTGCGCATGCCCAAAATCCTGACGGGAGAAGTGGAGAAGGGGCTGCAGTGTGACTATGCAGGAGACGAATCTGTAGAAAGTAAGTATTCATGGTTGTCAGAGGCTGCAGGAAAGGGAGAATGGGGAAAAACTGATGGAATTTTTCTTTGGAGTGATAAAAATGTTCTATAATTAGTATGGGTGGTTTTCCTAAAAGCCCCTAAGCTGTACCGTTTGAGAGGGACCAGAAGGTTGTGAAGTGGTTAAGGCACTGGACTCCCATGTTGTCTACTGTGGTTTGAGTTCCAGACCCAGCGGCCTAAAACTCACACCAGGTGCATGCCCCAAATCCTGAGAGAATGAAGAAGGAATTGTGGTGTGGCCATCCCCCCCCCGGGAGGGGGTGATTCCTTGCTGTCTCTCTGGCAAGTGCACGTGCCCTATAGGAAAAATCTCCCTTAAAAAAATTGTGAATTGTATAGAAGCATGTCAATTTCTCCAAATAAAGCTATCAATACACAGAAAAGATGAAGTCTTATAAATGTATTTTGGGTTTTTAAATCTAAGTTAAAGATATAGAACTTATATAGGTGTAAAATTACTGAACAAATTATTTCCCCAGTTGAGAACTGACCCTAGTGATATTCCGCAACAAAGATCTATGGAAATCTCACAACTTTAGGTGAACCTTTAAAAACGCAAACAAGCGGGAATAACAGATGGTGTAATGGTTAGGTCACGTGACCCTCACATACTTGAACCAGGTGATCTAAACTCATGCCGGGCGCAAGTTTGTGTGTGCTTAGGATCCCCAGAGAAGAATGAAGAGATTGTGGTGTGATTCTTGCTTTCTATCTCTGTCTTTCTATCGAGCACATGTACCTTATAGCAAAAACCTTTCTTAAAAATAAGCAACATGGTTTACTCTGGTCTGCTGTGTAAGTATCAGCTGAGCATCTCTAATCCAAAAATCTAGTATTTTAGAAGCTCAAAAAATTTTTTTTTAATGTTTTTGCCATAGGGCATGTGCACTCCCTGGAGACAAGAGAAGGAAAGTGAGGAATCACTCCTGAAGAGGATGGCCACACTGCAGTTTTTGTTCTCCTGGACTTTGGGCACATATGCACACACCCCTGGCACGATTTTCAAGCTGCTGGGTCCAGGACTTGAACCATGATGGACCATGTGGGAGTCTAGCACCTTGGTCACTCCACCTGCTGGCTCCATCTTTATTTTTTAAAGAATTATTTAATATTATTATTTTTTTTGAGAGGTTTTTTTTTTTTTTTTTTTGCTATAGGGCGTGTGTGCTCGCCAGACAGACAGAGACAGACAGACAGACAGAAAGCGAGAAATCACCCCCCAGGGGGGATGGCCATGCCGCAATCCCTTCTCCTCCATTCTCCTCTCGGGATCTTGGGCACGCATGCACACGCGCCCAGCGTGAGTTTAAGCCACCAGGTCCGGGACTTGTCCCCGGGAGTCCAGGGACATAGCCATTACGCTAACTGCTGGTCCCTTTAATATTTTTCACATGAGTTTTGCCAGAAAAAGACAGAGATGGAGAGTGAGAAAGCAAGCCACCAGGACCAGGACTCAAACTGAGTTAGCCATGTGGGAATGAATTACAGCACCTTAACCACATGCCACCTGCTGACCCCTGACCCCGTCTTTTTGAGCATGGACATAACGAAGTAGAAAATTCTAGACCTGACCTTATGTGATAGATCGCAGTCAAAACACACAATACATAATGTACTAAATTCTCTTCAGGACCAACCAGTGGTGTGGTGGTGAGGGTGGTTGGATCCCACGTAGCTAACTGTGCAATTTGAGTCCTGGGCCCAGTGGCTTCTTTTTCGAAAAAAAAAGAAACAGAGAAGGGGCTGTGGTGTGGCCATCCCCTCCATGGGGTGCTCTCACTTTCCCTCTCCCTTTCCTACAAGGGCACGTGCCCTCTAGCAATTTAAAACAAACAAACAAAAACAAAACTTCAGGTAAAGTATAGGCAGTGTCTGTGAGTCACAAATGTTTAGACTTGGGTCCCATCCCCAGGATATGATATATATGGAAATATTCCAAAATCTGAAAAAAAAAGCTGAGATCCAAAACACTTCCAGTCCCAAGTTTTCTGGGAAAGAGATAAAGCAGCCACGGCTGGAGTTAGTCTTCAATACCAAAAATAAAATTAGAAACTTAGATCCCTGTTTGGCTCTCTAATATACTGACATTGGAATAAAATTATCACTCTAATTCTAAACTTCTTCAACCACTTCATGTTTTTCATTTTCTTTCTCTTTTTATAGTGAATACCTGGTGCTTTGATTTGCTCCAAATCCCTCTTTCCTTTGGGAGCGAGGCCCACCCCTCCCCCAGTGTGGCTGCTGGGTTAGGAGTTACAGCACCTGAGGCACAGGTCTGGTCGAGGTCCCTGGTCCATCCCTTTCCCCACAGGGACTGGTCCCATGCATGAGCAGGGGATCCAGAGAAGACCAGAATTCTTTTGTATGAATTGATTTGTGGACCCTGGAAAAGGGAGCTTTTCTCTCCTTTTTGGGTCAAAGACCTTAAGGATGTAGGCTGTGGCTGACCCTGGTCTGTTATGTGGAGAGGGACAGCCTGAAAATGGAAGCAGGAAATAGAAGTCAGGTTGTGGGGATAAACAGCTCGGCCCCATCATCTGAGGCTTGGCCCAGCTCTGGCCCTGGGTGACACGGAAGTTCTGAGGTTCGTTACATCAGTGGATCAGTGCAAATGAAGCATTTCTTCTCCCAGAAACCAAACGCTATTTTAAATTTAATTTGCGTAGGCTAGGCAAAGTTTTACCCTAAACTTTCCCTGGTACATCTTCTGGACGTGCTCCATGTTATTGTGTCTGTCACATCAGTGCTCTTC